ATGGTGGTGAATTTTTTGATCAGAATGGCAGCAATTGGGGGTCTGCATTTGTTTGGCTTGGATGAATTGTTTGGCGGATTTATTAAACCAATTAATTTTGGATTTAAAATCTATAAAATCAAACTGGCCAAAATCGAACTAAATTGTTCTGAAATATATTTCTATTTTGGTTTAACTGAAATTTTGAGAGATAATAAAATCATTTTACTAAATCAGAGAACTCTTAAAAAAAGCATAGAAATTAGACTTCAAAGCCACACAAAAAAGACATCAAATAATTATAAGAGCAATTTTTAAATACTTGTGTGATGTCTCAGTAAAGTTGTTTGCAATGTCTGTTTTTGTTGAGATGATGGTGTCGTACATGGTTGCTACAAGGGAAATGCTGTTCCCATTTTTCCATAAGCTTGTGATATGCATTGGACTTATGAGATGGATATGTAATTAACAGGTTGAGAGATGTAATGAACTTAATATGTATATATTTCACTTTTTCTTAATATAAGATTTTCCTTTCCATTTTTTTTAAATTTTGTATCTTCCAAATGTTGATCATGTTAGTTGAAGTAATGAGATTTTTGTTTTGAGTTTTTCTTTTTGAATGTTGAGGACCTATAATAATACTTGGTGGCCGAATAGAGCCACCAAACAAAAAGAGGCATTGCCGAACACTCGGACCTTGCGATGTTGTGGATTGGGGTATGCAGCGTCAAACCCGCCTGTGTAAAGGCTGCCTTTCTAAGATGTCAGTGAAATTGCCAGCTTGTAAGGAAGCTCGATGAGCTCAACAAAAATGGAGGTAGTATGATATGTTTAGTTGGTGTTTGTGAGCAGATGAAAGGTTGAAGAAGAATAAAAAAAATTCAAGATGCAGATACTAACCTTAGGGCTTTGAGTTTGCAGCGTTCCATCTTTGCCTTGAGCTTGCAGACCTATAGGTGGCATCCACTGGCAAGAGGAATGGATGACAAATATGGATGTAGGAAATAGAAAACGTAGATACTAATTGTTTGTTTTATCCATGGAACCTTCGATTTATAGAATTCTGCGTTCGGATTTTTTGCTTTCCAATTACTTGTTCCAATATTTAGTGAACTAACTATTCACCTATTTATCAAAAATCAAGTTTTACTTAATTCAAAATTTTTTATATGAAAATCAAATCATTAATTGTAATACAACTAACCCTTCAAACAAAAAATAACTAAAATATTCTTTAATAAATTGAACCAAATTAACAAAATTAGTTTATTGTTTCGATTTTACCCAACTAATGCACAGCTAGTGATAGCTAACATGTGAGGTTGAATTTTTTTCTTCCTTGTACTTTGAGACGGGCCTTAAAGTTTGAGTTTTTCATATAGCTCCTCAAATTGTGATGGGACTATCTTGTACATATGTAGTTGAATAGAGGTCCTTGTATTCATCATCAAGGTCTCCTTGGATTTTCAGTGTAAGGTCATCTTTATCAATTGGGTTAGCCAAGCATCATCAACAATAATTTTGAAATGATGCTTGTGCTTGTTAATTGCTTCCGTTCCACTTGTGAGTTAATGAATGTCTTCTTTTAGTTGGGTGAGACTCCCTTATAATGGTTTGGCATAGCTGTTGCCAACAATATTCCTTGCCTCGTATGATATCTGAGACAAAGTAAGAAATGGGGTGAAATTTTGAGACAATAAATAATGCACTAAGAATAAGTTAATCTTAATGGATCTATATTGAGTGAGAAAGATTTGGTGTATGGTATATCATTGATATGTAATTTTTCTGAAAGATTGAGTTTTTCATATTAACTAACTATTCACCTATTTATCAAAAATCAAGTTTTACTTAATTCAAAATTTTTTATATGAAAATCAAATCATTAATTGTAATACAACTAACCCTTCAAACAAAAAATAACTAAAATATTCTTTAATAAATCGAACCAAATTAACAAAATTAGTTTAATTTGTTTCGATTTTACCCAACTAATGCACAGCTAGTGATAGCTAACATGTGAGGTTGAATTGAACCAAATTAACAAAATTAGTTTAATGTTTCGATTTTACCCAACTAATGCACAACTAGTGATAGCTAACATGTGAGGTTGAATTTTTTCTTCCTTGTACTTTGAGACGGGCCTTAAAGTTTGAGTTTTTCATATAGCTCCTCAAATTGTGATGGGACTATCTTGTACATGTGTAGTTGAATAGAGGTCCTTGTATTCATCATCAAGGTCTCCTTGGATTTTCAGTGTAAGGTCATCTTTATCAATTGGGTTAGCCAAGCATCATCAACAATAATTTTGAAATGATGCTTGTACTTGTTAATTGCTTCCGTTCCACTTGTGAGTTAATGAATGTCTTCTTTTAGTTGGGTGAGACTCCCTTATAATGGTTTGGCATAGGTTTTGCCAACAATATTCCTTGCCTCATACGATATCTGAGACAAAGTAAGAAATGGGGTGAAATTTTGAGACAATAAATAATGCACTAAGAATAAGTTAATCTTAACATATCTATATTGAGTGAGAAATATTTGGTGTATGGTATATCATTGATATGTAATTTTTCTGAAAGATTGGGATAAATTTTATTGATAAAATACATGAGATCATACCCAGTAAGGGTGTTATGAAACTGACATCGCTGTGATAAGTAATTGGAAAATTTAAAATTCAACAATAAAAAAAGCAATCATCTAAAATTTGAACATTTGCGCAAATATTATGATAATTTAAAAATGTGCCAAGTTTCATTTTGAGCTTTTGATTCGTCTTCTATCCGCTTGTGCAAGTGTTGTAGGTCCAGTGATGTTTAAAACACCTAGTATTTGATTGTGCATTTTAAAATAAAATTTGAAAGTTCGTATTTAATTCGCAATCCGTTGAAGAGTGCAAAAAGGAACTGTGAGAAAAATTTTTCTTGTTTAATTTTATAATGTATGTCTATAAGCCTTTGCAATAAATGTTCATATATTTACCTTCCTAATTTTCAAGCTTCTAAAACTGACATCGCTGGTATGTTTATAATGGACAATTTAAGATTCAACAATAAAGAAAGTTGCAATTTAGGAAAATTGGATGAAAAAAAAAAGAAACAAATTGGACCTCAAATGGAAGCTCTTGTTCGTATTTAATGGCTACCATCAGAGTTAATGTGGACAACTGATCAAATCTGTGCTATTATTAATGCAATAAAGCGATGTCATTTCTAACGTGAACAGACATGACAAATTTTGACATTTTTCACTCATAAATAAAGCAACATTATTTTATTATTTTATTTTGAAAATATAACAAAATTGAGGAATTAAGTGCACATCTAAATTTCTTAAAGACAATGTTCAACCAACAACAATCTGATTTGATGAAAATTAGCATAATTCACCACGATCAAAGAAAATTCGCTCAGTCTAAGGATCAATCAAGTCTAATTATCTAGGTTAGACCAACAAAAAAGCACAACTTCTGCAAGATGCTGGCTTCACTTAGATAAGTGGCTGACTTTATCCAGAATCTGTGACTTTGCCTTGCAAAGTCATCCTCAGAGGATGACTTCAGCTAACTATCAACATACAATGTACCGTGATTTCTGTATGGGAATAACGAATCCTTATTTGTTTACACTTGTAATCTTACTATATGTTTCTTATTCTAATTAGCTTTTTCCGTAGTGTCAAAACTCTTAGTCTGAACTTATAACTAATGGTCACATGAGAGATCTGAGATACTTGGTCACATATGCTTAAATCTATACCCGGGTGATCTAATAAAATGCTAGAGCTTTTCCTTTAGTTTCTTCTTTTAAATATTTTCTTACTTCTCTTGCTCTGTGCCAATGTGTAGATCTCCTAGGTAAGATTTTCGTACTGCTCATGGACAATTTAGGCTCAACATGGACAATGGAAAAATTCGGTTAAATTAAGCTTTTGCTTAAAAGTAAATCCAAAATTACTTTGTTATTATTATTCACTTTGAATGTTAGTTTATTAGTAACCCTAATGTTTAAATCATCTTATGCGTACTTACTAGCATTGTTTGAGGAGCAAATTATAGAAAAGAGCACCAAATTTATTGGAATATGTTGAAGGAGCTCCAAAAAAAAATTGTTTGATAAGGAGCACAAACACCCCCAAAGAAGGCGTTTTATATAAAAGTAGTTTTTTGAAGAAAGGGTATATTTTCATTAAATATACAAAAAATTAAATTTCAATATATAATAGATTTTATCATAAATAAATAAAATATTGATATATATATATATATATTTATATTTATATATATTAACTAATATTATAAATAAATTTGTTGATTAATTTTTACATTAATGAAAATATTAAATTTCTTAATTTTTCTACATTAATTAATATTTAACTAATAATAAATTAATCAAAAAAATAATTAATTAACTAACAATATATTAAATTCATATTCATATAATCTGTCACATTAAAATATTCTTGTAATATCATATTTACAAAAAAATACTATCTTCATATTCATATAATCTATTTCACATTAAAATTTTTTTGTAATATCATGTTTACAAAAAAAATACTATCTTCTATGCCGGGTGGAATGACGCCTTAGCCCAGTATATATCGAGACGACAGTCATAATGGTTGATGTCGCAACTAATGATTTGAAAATTCTTCTTCAATATTATCGTCTTTAGTTGCGTCATTAAAAAATTACTAGATGTTACAACATGCTACGAATACTCAACTGAAGACGATAATGTTGAAGAAGAATTTCTAGATAATATATATAAATTTTTAAGTTATTTGTAATAAAATATATTATATATTAAATAATTAAATTTTTAATATTTAATTACTTTCATGTGAAACGGTCCTTATCAAAATTTTTTTTTTGGAGCTCCTTCCCCATTTCCAATAAATTTGGTGCTCCTTTCTATAATTTCACCTTGTTTGAGTCACTTTGTGCGACCTGTTTGTTCCAACGATATATGGTTTAGTGATCACAATTCTGATCAAATTTTTATAATCCTGTAGGTATGATTATTCTGGCTATGGCCAATCGTCTGGAAAGGTTTGTTGCACTCCATCTTCTTCTATTTCTTTTGATGATTTGTTAGCTAGAATATTAAATGATGGTAATGAGAGAAATTTCAGTAATAATAAGCTGATGTCTTTGTTTATTCTTTGTAGCCAAGTGAGCACAATACGTATGCTGATATTGAGGCTGTTTACAAGTGTCTTACTGAAAACTATGGCGCAAAAGATGAAAGCATTATTATGTATGGGCAATCTGTTGGCAGTGGGCCTACTCTTGATCTGGCGGCACGCCTTCCCTCCTTACGAGCTGTTGTTCTACATAGTCCCATTTTATCTGGTTTAAGAGTTATGTATCCTGTAAAACGAACATACTGGTTTGACATCTACAAGGTTGATGTTTTTATTTTTTATTTTTTTAATCTATATTTATTGGTTTTCTACGTCTGATGATTGATGACTTGGGATATCATTTGTGGTCTGTTTCTGTTTCTCAGAATATTGACAAGATGCCGTTAGTCAATTGTCCTGTGCTCGTAATACATGTAAGTACCTTTTCCTTAATTTTGTTAATATTTTAATCAATTTAAAATTATTTATACTTAATTTATTCCAATTGCATTCATTATATATTTTTGGGTTATCTGCTTACATTTGCGATTTAAATTATTGTAAAAATCTTCCATATGTTTGACTGCGAATGAGGTTTTGATTAGTTTAATATAATAATATGTAAGCTAAATTAAACTTGTTAATATAGCTTATTTAGTAAAGTAAAATGACATGTGATACACCTCCAAAAAATTTTATCAGCTGATATGGATCTCGAGGTATGACACGGATCTCGAGGCAATCTTTTGATTAAAAAATGTTCAAATTTTGATTAAGAACTATTTAGAAGTCCGATTTCAATAAACTTATAGTGAAAGTGATCGGTTCAACGAGACAAACCCAATTATACCAAAATTGATTCAATCCGAGTCAAATCAAGCTCAGATTAAGTCATTAAATTACTTTTGGAAGCTTTCTGGCATATTTAGAAGGTCAAATAGATGTCAAATCTGATGAGCTGATGGTCGAGTCGAACGTTTCGACAAGATGAATCCAACGAGCCTAAGATCATTGAATTCCAACATTGTTAAGACCCTCAAATGTCCATCAAATGTCATTTGATTTAGGGAACTTCTTTGGACCATTTGATTAGAGTGGTTCATATTCATTCATTAATTGCAACCGAGACTTTATAAATAGAGTCCAACCCCTCTCATGAGAGGGAGGAGGGAGAGAACTTGAAGCCTGAAGAAGATTGGAGCTTGTAGAAGGAGCTGAAGTCCATCCTACTCCTGTAGATGTCGACCACCAGTCACCGACCCTGCAGACTATCGTCGGTCGTCGCCTACTCCTTGCGACGAAGCCTTGTGCAAACCAACAACTGACACAACGGAGTCGCGAGGCAAACTGTGAAGTGACGCATCATCCCGAACATCGGGTTGACCCCAAAGACGATGCAACAATACTTTCCGAAGACGGTGTAGCAACACACGTCAAAGATGGTGTAACTACTCATCTCGAAGATAGTATAATGATGCGCTCAGCATAAGCTTTTGCAACTCTCGTGGCCTACGACCGTCACTACAGCTTACCACTGGCTAACTACGGCCTATGTGGTCCACAACTCATGCAACTCCTGACTCTAACACTTATGACCTACAAACGTCATTACCACTCACTAATACGACCCACGAGACCAACTATGACCTACGTGGTCTACAGCTCATGCAACTCCCGACTTAGGCCCCTTGCGACCTACGAACATCATTCCAACTCACTTATATGGCTCTATGGCCTATGTTGTCCACAGCTCTCACAACTCCATACTACGACCTCTATGGCAAATCGACACTCTTGAAGCAACCATTTACGACCCACCTGACCAGCTACTGTAATGGTTATCAACTATGACTTCTACGACAAGCTGATACTTCAACAGCCATCTACAACACCCACGACAGATTACTACCTCCGTGACAATTGACTATGACCCCTTGCAACTTGCTGCTGCTAAGATTTACGACCAAATTATTGATATACAACTTTATAATTTCATATTCCCTAATTCAGGAGAAGAATGAACTTGTGTTTTCATCATTCATAATGAATTATTTCAAATGGGCTGCACCTCGTGGTTTCTTTTCTTTTCAAGGATTTTTCACATAAAAAATTAAGGTGCCTCATCCTGATTATTTCTTTTTAATCATCTGAGTGTGCTGAATTCTCGTGCAACGTTAACATGATAAATAATCATCACTCTACCGCCACAAATCTTTTAGCGCACATCAACATGAAAAAAATATCAGACATGTTAAAATAAATGCACATGTAAAATTGAATGCAGTGCAAACACATCATGCTGCTCTTAAAGTTTATTTTATGTGTTGAAGTGAATATATATTTCTAGATTTTCATAATATTTGCTAGGGCTTGAGCAATTTTGCTTTGAGGAATTAAATATTTGAGATTTTTCTATTCTTGGGATAGTTGCTTTGTTTTTTGCACAGTAATCCATGGCTTTGTTGGCATCATTTCACCATAAATGCTTGATGTTAAAACCGATAACAACTCCCTCTTTTGGTTTCTAAAACCGTTCATGCCCTTCTCTGTTAGAAGACTCATGAATGAACCATTTTGCTTTCTCATTCACACATATCTGAAATGCTCGCTCTTCCTGTTCGAGTGATATGGCTGTGATTAGGGCTACGAGATCACAATATAAAAGGCCTCTAAAACTTTATATTCCTCCATGTAACACATGATGAAGTCGAAGGCTTGCTCCTTCCTCTCGATCACAGCCTTCCCGCGATCTCTGTGTGTGTTAATGTGTTGTAGAAGCCGCAAAAGACTTCATCCCTTCGCTGGAAAGGCAATAACTGGATTGTAGCTTACGAAGACCTCCAAAATCCCTTTCTATTCGAACGATAGAATCGAGCTGCTCCTCCGTCTCTCAAAATTGTGTGACCGCACTTCTTGTTACTCCTCTTCGTTCGTCCTTCATGCATGTGGCCAAAAAAGAAAAGACCTCGTCGTTCCTTTTCACTCCCTTTATTTGTGCGATTCAAGTCCAAAACATGAATGAATGGTCCTTGTTTTTATTGTCTTGCATAACTTCACAACATATATATATATATATATATATATATATATATATAGCAAATTATTTGCTTATTAGAATATATATAGATATATGAGTCGTGCTCACATAACTTTTATGCAAATTAATCAAAGACCCATACGTGTCACGACTCGACCTGATAGCTTAGAATTATCCAAGTGAGGAACATCGATCAAACGATATTAAATTTTCTTTTAAATCATTCAGTAATCCATCATAACTTACAATAATAAAAAGAGTTATTAAAGACCACAATATAAACTAAATGGAAATTTAAATCATCAAGAAGCAATAACATAACTTACGAATCAAAGAATATCTCAAATCAACATGCAACAATATCTCACTATATAGAAGCAACACAGAAGTAATAAAGCAATAATTACAACAACAACTTAACATAATACTTATCAACAATGGCCTTGCTGTAAATTAAATCTCTCTTATCAGACATCAATCTATATTGTTTCTTGAAAGAAACAATTAAAGTAAATAGTAAGTTTTTCACTACTTGGTGAACAATTACAATCTTATCATGCATTAAATTAATATGCAAATGTTATTCATGGATGTTCCAAGGGTATGCATTTTATTGATAAATCAATACTATGAGCCTTTATTTCTAATTTATTCCTTTCCATTTCAATTTCATTATTATTAATCTCTTTACGAAGTCATATTAGGATTACCATCATCTTGAATATATTTTCAAAATTGTACCCGTAAATACTCTCAAAATTTTGCATCTAAAGGTACACATTTACCATTTATATTTTCTTTTTCGTGCATGGGTGCATCGCATCTTTGCTGGTGCAAGCTGGGGTTAATCCTGAATGACTCGAGCTTTTATATTTAATTTTCTTTAAATTACTTTTTTTTAATGACATTGTTCGATTTTTTTTTTTTTCGTTTTTCGTTTCATTTCATTTCAATAATTTTTAAGCTTATAACATGCAGACGACGTTCATACAATTATAAACAATTGTCTTAAGCATTAAGACAAATTTTTATTTAATAAAACATCAATTTTTTACATATAAGAATGTAATTTCTCACTTTGCTTGCTTGTCTCACCGACTCTCTATTTTCATATTTTCTAGGTTCAAAATATTCTTCAACCTTATATTCTATTTTAAATTTATATTTTATTAAATATTAATTCTAAATTAAGTAAATTAAAATTTTAATTTAAATTAAAACATACTTTATCATTTAAAGTGATTCACCTTTAACTTGAATATGTAAATTTTTTACCTCATGTGCTTGGTGATTTCAAATGCACTTACTATTAACATTTAATGAATAAACTTAATTATACACATATATATTTATATAAAATTCATTAATTAAAATTTTATTAAACCCAAGCTTACTTAAAAATTCCTTCGGCTGCCTGCTAACTCTCAAACAAGAGCTCCATTCCTCATGCATGAGTTGCCCCCCTTCTCTTCCTTCTTAACAACTTCGTCTCTTCTTCTACTTCTTCGCACAGAACCCTTGAAGCCCCCCTTTCAAGCGCTTGGTTTGCTTCTCCTCTTGTTGACAAAGCCACACACCTCTTGTTCTTCTTTTGATCGTGACTCAACTTCAAATTGCACGGCGAGCCGATCTCCTCCCCCTTCCTCTATTTGACTTGGGTTCAGAACAACGTGCTTTTGTCGACTCGATAGTGGCGTTGGACGCAAGCTCCTCACTGAAGCTGCGATTCTTTCTCTTTCCATGGCTAGGCTATGGTTTCTTTCGTTGTCCACGCAAGAGTCAAAGCCTTCCACACACGTAAGTGGGGAATTCAACCTTCTCCATCTTCTTTTTCTTTCTTCTTCTTCTTCATTCCCTCACTCGATCTCCCTGCTCTTTCTCTCTCTGTCTCTGTCGATCTATTCAAATGAAACGATAACTTCTTCAACTCCTAAAGACAAAACCTTGGGATACACTTATTCAATTATTATTATTATTAATATTTATTTATTTATTTATAACTTACAATTATTAAAATATGCGTCTTATTGACTGATGGATTAGAAAATTTGATGATCTAAGTATCTCACGACACTAACCGACTTGTCTTATAGATCGATGGGCAAGCTAAACACCCCCTGATTTAGCCCATTAAATGAGGAAAACGTCGAAATGTTGTCAAAATTTTGGATGAATTTGGACTTGCAAATGAATTAAATTTAGACAAATTGGACTTGATCATCTTATAAGACACTTGCAATACTCTATGACGTAGAATGTTGGCCTTTAAAAGAGAAGCATAAAATTAAGTGTTGTCGAGACGAGAATGCTTAGGTGGATGAGTGGCTTTACGAATAGAGATAAAATGCGAAATAAATATATCCGTGATAGTGTTGGTGTAGCTCTTGTGGCAGACAA